TCTGACGTTTTTGACACTTGTATTTTTGGACATTTTGTCCAAAAATATAATTTTTTGCTATGTTCCCAAAATGACGCTAATAATATTAATAATTTATTCTCTCTTTGCAAATTGATTAGTGGTTTGTTATATAAATTTAAAAAAAAAAAGAATATGAGAGTAAGTTATAAATTGTAAGATTTTTATATTATTCTTGTAATTTTAGTGTTTTTAGTTTTATTTGTATAGAAAGTACAACGCACAAACATTGTTATGGTCAAACATTGATTTGAATGGAGCAAAATGTTTCGTTTTGAAAAAATATTTTAACGAGTCTAGTTTGTATGATGGATGGTTCCTTAATTCAATAATAAGAATACTGCTTAATTAATTTTTCATTATTTTTAAGAAAGTATGATTGTGTTTCTTTATTATTTGGTGGGTATATGATATTTAAGCCTATTACACTAATAAAAATGTTTGGTAGCCTGAAAATGAGAGGTTCGAATGACCTGAATGGGTGTAGGCTGGACATCCGACCAAGTGAAAACTTATCTACCGCGGTTGTTACCTTTATCGACCGCAACTGTTAGCCTTCTCGACAAACGAGCAACCGGACGTCTGTCCGGACGACTAGCAAAATGAATTTTGAGTCATTCGTGCTAACCTTTTCGGGTTACCAAGCATTACTCTTATACTAATTGTTAGATTTTTGTTTTTTGTGTAGTATTTTTTTCATTAATTTTTTAGTTTTAATTTGTAACATATTCACTAAAATATGACGGTCTTATTGATACAAACAAACATAAATATTTTAGCGTGAAAAGAAAAAAGGAAGATAAACTTATGTCATCTTAAATCATAAAAGTTGAGATATTTTTAGTGTGAAAACTTTGCTAACTTAGGCTTATTCATTAGAATTTTTTGAATACGTGATTTTGTGGTAAAGATTAATTTGTATAATATAAAATTTATGTAAGGTCTACGTGACATGTAGTAAAAGTTAATTTCTAAGTAATTTTTGAATCCATGGTATTTTATGCATTAATTAATGTATCAATACATGTATGTCATTATCATTCTAAAACGATAGACGTTATCTATTATATAAATTATAAAGATTTAAAATCTCTAAAATTATAATATATTATTTGTTAATACATTAATCAATATATTAAATAATTTTATTATTGTTGAATTGATAAGACGTATTACTGAGATGCTCATGGCTCATAATTGGGGAGGTACCGCATAAGTCACGCGTGGGGACCTATACAACCCACACGTGAACCTATTTCTGACCGGTAACCTGATTTTGCAGGCCACACACGTTTAACTAAAACGGTGGTGATAGATCCCACTAAAAATGGACCATTAAACCAACTCTAATGAGCTGGCAGTCCAGAATTAAAAAAAAAAAAAAAAACAAAAGAACAAAACATCAGGAAGTGGAAGTAGCCAGTTGTTCTTTGGTCCACGTGTGTCAAATCATTAAGCTACTAGACATAGAACGCATATCCCTGGGGTAATGCAATCATTAATCACCCACCAAAGGAGTGAATGGTTTTTTATTTATTTATTTGTTTATTTTGTTATCAAAAATAGAAAAATCAACCTGACTTGAAAATTTTGGTAGATCAATTGTTTCATATTTGTTCCCCAAAAAAAAAAAAAAAATGATTTAAATATTATTTTTGAATTTTCTGAAAACACCCAATTTTCAGGAATAATTTTAACTTCATTTATGAATCTAAAAATCATTTAAGTGTTTTCAAATTTTTATTATTTTTGTTTTCAATGTATAAAAAATTTAAAAAAAAAGTATAAACAAAAACATTGGAAACAATAGCTTATCCTTATAATGGCAAACTTGATATTAAAGCAACTTTCACATCCTTCTATTGAATAAATTGGGCAAAATATGATTGTATGAGCATTCTTACTAGCTTATTTATATTTTGGGCTTTGCTACCTCCCCTTAAAAATACCCCCTAATCCCCCTAATTTCCATATCAAGTAAAAGAAAAAAAAAATGGAAAAAGTTGTCCAAATTGGAAATTAGGGGGATTAGGGGGTATTTTTAGGGCTCTAAATCATTTTCCTTATATTTTATCTTAAAATATTATTAACAAATTTATTTTTTATTTTAGGAATCATTTTTTTTTATCTATTTTCTTCAATAAATTCTCTATTCTTTCTTTATTTTATTAACAAACTCTTTATTTTTTTTATTCCATTAAAATATAATTTATAATTATAAATTTTAAAAAAAATATAAATCATAAATGTGTATTACAGTCCATAAACAAAGTAAAACAATATATATATATATATATAAGGGAGTTATAGTGGCTCCCTACAAATGGGGAGTCACTGTAGCAAATATTAGTTTAGGATGGTTTATAAAGGAGCTAATGGGGTCATATAAGGGAGCTCTAACTCCCTAAAATAGGTAAGAGAATGATTTAGAGGGTGGGATGAGGATGCTCTAATAGGGAGCTTCTATTTACACATTACAAATTTTTTTAATTTATATTATTTTTTTCGTTTGGTTATTTGAATAATTAATTTGTATTTTATAGGTGATATTGAAAAATTAAACTTTGATTTATACAAATAACTCGATCTTGACTCGTGTTTGGCTCATTAAAAATATGTTTGATTTTAATTCGTTAGTAAACAAGTCAATCTTAAATATATTTTAGAGTTCATTAAAATTTTTAAATTAAGCTTAAACGGTCAATTGTTCATTCAACTCGGTTCAATAAACATAAATCTATATAAAAATATAAAAGAATAATACTATATGCATCAATATAATTTTAGAATTTTTTAGTCTTCATAATTTGTGTAATAGATGGGATCATAATTTTAAAATAATAATGTAATAATTATATTGACATATTAATTAGTATACTAATTAGTACATATAACACCATCAAATACAAAATCACTCCAGTTCAACTCAACAACGATTCATTTAAGATTAATTTAAAAATTTAAGAAATTAAACATAAACAAATTTTAAAACTAGATAAAAAATTTAAAATAAACTTGAAGAAATAACTATCATGATGCGACCATTGTCCGCTTACGTTTTTTTTGACCCACTGAGAACCTGAGACTCTCAGACTCCAACCGTTACCATCGTTTTTCACAAATTCTTTTGTATGACTGAAATACCCTCCTCCTATGCTGACCTCGGTTAATGATGCTCTCCTCTTCCGCAGTCCCCACAAGGTTTGATTGATTCTATAGAGTAACAATTTTTGTTTTCTCATTTAATATTTCGAAACATGATTTGCACATTTTCCACGAAGTTTCTAACATTCGAAATTTAAAACTGTTTGACCTCTCTACACAGCAAAATTGTTGGAAACTTTACGGGTATGTTTGGTTTGTGTTTGAGAGATGTGTTTTAGAGATAAAAAGTACGAAAATATGTTTGGTTTGGTTTTTTTTAAAAGATGTTTTGGAAAATTATTTTGAGATAGAGTTTTGGAAAAAGTGATTGATTTGATATGTGTGAGAGAGAGATTTGTTTGGAAAACTTGTTTGGTTTACAAGTTTTGAGAAATTTTTTGGGGAAAATTTGTTTGGTTTGATTATTTTTGAAAACTTATTTGTAGAGAAAATTTCCCAAAATTTTTTCAGAAAATCAAACCAAACGAGCCCTACATTTTTCAAGGAATACCTATTACATCCATGAAGTTTAGAAAATTGGTATAGTTATTGTAATTCTAATTAAAATAAATAAACCAAATCAAATTAACAATAATTCTATACTTATTATTTCTTTATACCAAGACTAGTGTAACATTTTATGTGGCACATCTACAATCTTGGAATATTAATGGAGCTCATGTCATTGTATCAAATGTCATGACATGAGATATTATACTAAGCATTTTGATTGTCTTCGAGAGGGTGCTTTCTAGGCTTGTGGACTCATGAATTTTATTTTGATAATTTAAACTGATTATTTTATAGAACCTTTGGTGTAATATGATAATCATAACCTATTTAATTTATGTATTTTTTATCAAAAAAATTGATGGTCTATTTTTCCAGCTACAATTGCCATTTATTTTTTTTAGAGATAAATATAATAAAGTGAATAGCCTGTGATTATGATTATTAGATCATTCAAGTTTTTTTTTATGAATAATATATAAAAAATAATTTTATAAAATAAATAGTTCAACTTATCAAAATAAGACCTGCAATGGGTTCAACGTGCTCAGACAACAACCTCCAATCCAATTCTTGGACTAGAAGGAAGCACAATTCATATACTAAATGTGTTATAAAAAAATATAAATATAATATTATTGTTGAACTAAACTTTATATTCATATCACAATCAATTGAGATCTATTATATTGAATCATTTGTTGTTATTTCGCTATCGATATCAACAATAAATTAACAAATACTAATTGATAGCTCTGAATCATTAAATTTGGAGAGTCTCATCTCATATTCTTTTTTCTTTTCTTTTTTTTTATCATGGGTAAATTATACATTCTCTCTTTAAAATATTTGACCTTATTTCATTTTGATTTTTAGAGGAAAGATCCTTTCACTTTGGTTTCTAAACAATCAAATCATTTTTGCTTTAATCTAAATTTAACGGAGGTTATACTTTCATCATTACAATAATTTTGACTCTTGAAGCATAGATCTTTTCTTTCGTTGATATGGAATCTCTAACCAAAAAATAATGTTTAACTAAAATGGTTAACCCATTATCATTATACAATTAATTTGAAATAACAAATATACTGAAAATTTTTACAATCCCATGAATGGTACAATCCAATCTCTTCTACTTGCAATAGGGCTCAAGACCCCAGAATCATTTTCATATCAAAGACAGATAGTGACAAGGGAAAAAAAGCCATTAAAAGAGCAATTAGGTCACATTGACCAAACATAAGCAATTTTTGGTCCCCTCAACCAAGGGCTAATTTAGTAAAACCACATCCTAACCCCCTTTAAACCTTTTTAAACAGTCTTTCCACTTTCTAAACTCCCTCCATATTTCCCAAAACTCAACCCTTAAACCCCCAAACCAAACCTCACTCTCTCTCTCTCTCTCTCTCTCTCTCATTCATGGCTTTCCTTCAAAATCACTTCCCACTCCATCTATGCCTTCTGGGTTTCCTAACCCTTCTCTATCTCCCCTCTTTTCTCTCCTCCTCAATCCACGACCTCCTCAGAAGCAAAGGCTTGCCGGCGGGTCTCCTCCCGAAGGAGGTCAAGTCCTACACTCTCTCCGACGCCGGACTTCTCGAGGTCTACCTTGACGGACCATGTTTAGCCAAGTTCGATACCATGGCTTGCTACGACAGCGTTGTCAGGGCTAACCTCACCTACCGGAGTCTCACCGGCGTTGAGGGTCTCTCTCAGGAAGAGCTCTTTCTCTGGTTCCCTGTCAAAGACATCATCGTTGATGATCCCAAATCTGGGTTGATACTTTTCGACATTGGACTCGCTCATAAACAGCTTTCTCTCTCGCTTTTTGAAGATCCACCTGATTGCAGACCTGATCAAGGTAATTGGGTTTTTTAGTTTTCGAGATCCGATCGGTTTGTTTGATTGATTTCATCGCCATAAACAAAAAGAAAAAAGTTGTGTTGTTTCTTTGTGGGTACGAGAAGATTGAGGATTTTATGTCAATTGTTTAGACATTGATCGGAGTTTTCATTTTTTTAATTTGTTTCTTCTCATAATTATTGGGTTTCCTCTGTTTTGTTGTTTGTTGGAGTTTTTTCCTCCTATTTTGAGAGGTTTTATGTGTATATATATAATTTTGATTATAAAATATTATATATGGATTTATTTATTTTTTTAAATTTACTCTCTATTCCAAAATGAAATCTAACTTTTTTTTATTAGTAATACAATTAGTACACTTTAAAAATATTTAACTTTTTAAATTCATCTTTTGATACAATTATTACATTTCAAAAATATTAATGTGAATGAATTTAAAAAAATGGCAAAATAAGAAATTAATCATCTTGTTTGGTTTTGGTTTTCAGAAAATATTTTTTAGAAATTTTTTTTTTATTTTTTGTATTTTTTTTTTGTTTTTAAGGATTTTTTTAATATTTTAAGCAATTTTTAGACACACCTAACTTAAATACACTTAAAAAGTATAATATTTGTGAAAAATATCTTTAAAATTTTTTCTAAATATCAAAAATATAAAAAAAATACAAAAATTTAGTACATTTTTCATATTTTTGTATATTTATTAATTTTTTAAAATATTTTATTATTTAGATACATCTAAATAAGATGCATCTAAAAAAGTAAAAAAAAATTGTTTAAAATTTTAAAAATATTCACTAAAAACAAAAAATTTAATTTTTCGAAAACTGAATTTAAAAAATTAAAACTAAATACACTGATATATTATTTTAGTTCTTAATTTTTTAAAATATCTAATATTTTGAGATAATAAAAATTAAAATTAAAGATTAATATTTTGAAAGGGAGAAAATACTCAACTAAAATGTTATCACCAAAAATGGTAGTATAGGGGGTGAGAGCTCACTCTTCTTGTTTGGTTCATAAGAAATGGGCCTCTTTTTGTTACACATAATTTTCATTATTGATTGTCTATCCTTATCTTTTTATCTTTCTTTTATTGCTCAACAGAAGGTTATGGCTTAAATGTTGATTTTGTAGGTGTATTATTGAACAAGATTACAAGGAAAGAGAAAGGATTTGAAGCTCAAAGATAGAAGATGCTAATCTTGAATTATCTTGAATAGTTACTTGTTTTCTTGATATATATATATAGGGAGGTAGAATTGTAAAGATGCTGGAATTTTCGAATCTCCTAATCAAATTAGAAGTGTTAGTCTTCTAACTTCTTTTCAATTTCTTTTTATTCCAGTCTCTATGGATTATATAATTATGAAAGTCAAAACGATCAACATCTCAATTTTATTTTATTCTTTAAAAGAATTATTTAATAATCCTAAAATATGTGCATGTGTGATTGGTAGAGAATGTGAGTAGGTGGGTATTAAGTTAAGTGATTAGAAAATATGAGAAGTATATTGAATGATAATTAGTTAGAGAATATAAACACGTGTTCAGAATTATTAAATAATTTTTCAAAAAAAAGTCTGTATAATTATTGACATTTTAGTTTCTATAATAATAATGTCGAAGCAAGTAGGACAATAATATCATTTATTATTAAGTTGGTATAGGCATAATGTGATAAACTCCAAATTGGAAAGGCCTATCTTCACGGGCGAAATTTCAGCCGTCGTACAGACAACCACTTTCTTGGATTTTACATTTTTTAAAACAACAATGGTTCATAATAAATCACTACTGACATGATAACAAAAAATAAATTAATTAATTAAAATAAAAATATCGCATCACAATACGTGAAGTTTATTGTCAGCCCATTAAAATTAGTTTTAGAGTTCAAAAATGAAACTTTCAAAATATTTTTCTTTTAAAAATCCTGTCTCTTTGGTATTAAGGATTAGTTTGAAAATTTATTTTAATTAATTTTTTTACAGAAAAAACATACAAAATAAAAAAAAATAGAGAATGACATGATAATTTGTTATGATTTTTTGAATTTATAATTATTATAGCTACTTCCCAACTAAGGCCTAAGTAAATAAATTGTGTATAACTTTGGATTGTTCTAAGTGATCGGCAGATGTTACTACACAATTGCTTAATTGTTCTTCAATTTTTGACGTTAGATCCTGAAAGAAATTAATGGAGATACTGTAAGTTGGTCCCTTAAAAAAAATAATAATAATAAAAAATATGATTGTGTATATATATATATATATATATATATGTTAGATTCAAGCTTCATTTGAAAATATGTTATTTTAATATTTTTTTAATTTTTTAGTTAAAATATAAGATAAAAAAATAGTATATTTGAAATAATTTTTTATAAAAAGATAAAAAAAATAAAGAGAAGAAATTTTTTCATTTTTTGATATAAATTGTTAATTTTTTAGTGATATTTTTGACTTTTAAATTAAAATAGTGAATTGTGAAACAGGCTTCAATAAATCTAATAATAGGTGCACTTTAATATCACGCGGGAACCGTGGGCCAATCTAAGTTGGTGGTGTATGATGGGCCCACCAGTGCCTTTGCCGATGGTTGCGTTGATGAATTGTACCTTGTCGCGTGGCAACGGATTTATTGTATGGCAACATATAAAAAGCATCTTCAATGTCACAATGTCACATGTGAGAGGGGGGAGCATGGTTCAATTTGGGATAATACTTTTTTTTTTTTAATCAGGAAAAAAAAATGGCTCTATAGTGTCATTATGATCTTGTTGGGTCCTGACTCTGAGATAATCGGTTGTCAGTTAAGAATTAACTCCCACTAAGTGAGGGACCTATCACCAAGGCATCAATGGAGCGCGAACATACACCACAGCAGTGGACAGGTGTCGAGGGGATTTATAGAGCGTGTTCACCGAAGTGATTTCAAACACTCCCTCCCTAAGAATCGACCTTGGCACGCAGCTGTAGAATGCCCCACATTCTCCACCAGGCCACCAACCCTGGTGGTGTTCAATTTGGGATAATACGAGGATTAATTCGTTGTCCACTATTTCATAAAAAGAAATAATGAAATAAATTAGATACAAATCATTTAAATACAATTCAATTTTATTTAAAATTATGATTTCGCATTATCTATTTATAAAGAAAATTATATATTATTTCAAAAAAATCAATCTATCATAAATTGTTTAATATTAATCTGTTCATAATTTTTCGAAACATAACTTAAACAAACATAATATTTAATAAATAAATATATTGCTCAACATGTGGTAAGCATAAAACTCTCATCGAACAAACATTTTATCATGACAACAATAATTATAAAACTAAAATTATGCTAAATAATTTATAAAATAAAATAATAATAATAATAATAATAAAAAGAATAGCAGCAGAGTATATGGTATATATATGGTTTAAGTTATATACGGTCCGGTTCGGTTCAAATTCGGAATCGTGAACTCAAATTCAGAACTGATCCGCGAAGAATGATTTCTTAATTTTTCAAATCATAATCAACTCATGGATTCAAAAATCAGTCCAAACCTACTGGATTGGACTGGACTAATTCAGATTGCAAATTTTTTGAATTTATTATAGCGACGCTTACTAACAATATTAACCTTTTTAACAACTTTTTTTTAAGATTTTTTTTTTTTTGACATCACCATCTTATATTTTCAATCACTATTGAGGGTTCGTTTGGGATGTAGGTTAACTTTTTGACTTTTTGACTATTTTAGTCTGAGGCTAAAAAATCTCATTTGTTATAGGCTTTTTAGTTTTTTGATTTTTAGAACACAAAAATTGAAATGATTATAGTTTAGATGTGACATTTTATCTTATTAATTTTTTATCTTATTTTTTCTTTTTATGACTATTTTAATCAAAAAAAATATAAAATGTCAATATGCCAAACGATGAGTTTTTATAAAATGGGTTTGGCTTCTGTCCAGTCCTTAATCGGACTGGATTGTGCTGTTGGGCCCGTGGAGGCCTACCACGGGTCCCGTTTTGATAATCTGAACCGTTGAATATATAGAACTCGTCGAGTACTATAAGTTTGTAAAAAATCACGTTAATCGGATATCGGTAGTTATGTGATCAAATCAGTTTTGTATAAAAAAAATAGACGATGAATAAATTAACGGTTGACAAAAAACTGATTTGATTACATAGCTACTGATATCCGATTAACGTGATTTTTTACAGACTTATAGTACTCAACGAGTTCTACACATTGAACGGTTCAGATTATCAAAATGGGACCCGTGGTGGCCCCCACGGACCCAACAGCACGATCCAATCCGATTAAGGACTGGACAGAAGCCAACGCCTATAAAATACATGTAACTGTTACTAATAATGTTAAAATTTTGCAAACTTCAATAACAACTCTAGATAATATAAATTATTATATTTTTTCTGTTGCAAAATAATAGTCTCTTTTAGAGAATTTAATTTTTTTTGATAGTATAATTATTACAGTTTATAAAAAAGATAATTTTCTAAAATTACCCTTTGATGGTACAATTTTAAAAAAATATTAATTGTTACTTTTTGTGTTAATGAATTTAAAAGAACAGTAAAATAAAAAATTCATATTATTTTAGTCTTTAATTTTTGAAAAAGTAACTAATATTTTGGAATAATAAAAAATAAAATAAGTAATATTTTGGAACGAAAGGAGTAGCTCAATTAGTAGCCCTATTGGAATTGCACTAAATTAGTAAGAAAAATATTGAAAATATTATTAATTTTGTCTAATATTTTTTTTTATGTTGCACATTTATAATTATTGGTATAATAGGTCTTACATAAGCTGTATTAATTTTAAAATAATGAATTAAATCTAATATAAAAAATTAATAATCATAACATTGTTGGTGATTTTATTTTATTTTATTTCATTTTTTGTGTGTGTTTTCTAGGCAATTAGCTTCTTAAAAAACAAAACAAAACGAAACAAAATAAAAAAACGTCGGGTCACTAACAGCGTGCTGAATGTTGCGTGGTCCTCGCTCCTGGGCATTCCAGACTTGGTGGGATCCTATGTTTAAAAATAATAACAAAAAAGTTGTAAGAAAGATGATCAAAATCATTGAAATTTCTCACGGTCCATCAATTCTAATAAACCTTTCTTGGTATTGGCTTTTTTTAGTTGATTTTTTTAATTTTGTTTGGTTTGATTTTTTTAGACTTGTAAAAGAAAAAAATATAATGATTATAATTTTAATATGACTGTAAATCATAAAGCATCATAACGTAGCGGGAAAAATATTTAGATCATACCTTTAGGTGATAGAACCTCGTGGGTAAATCACGTGCTTCCAGAATCCGAACAACGAACCCAGCAATGGAGTAATACTACAAAATGAGTATCACTCACACAAGTCACGGTGCAAAGTTATGGGTAAAAATCACATAACGTATCTGATATACGTATCTGATATATCAATATATTATCTAAAATATATAATCAGATATATATCCACCAATATCTATCTATCCATCTATCCATATCTATTGATATGATAGATATAACTATCATGAATGGTTATCCAAATAAGTTTTGAATTCAAATTCAAACTTGTATGGATAAGGTTCAAAAGGTTCAGGTTCAAAGGTTCAAAGGGTCATGCCACATGGGCGCTCAATTTCTAACATCTCTCACTCGCACATGAGTTGGCATGACACTGCCACATCTCTATCTCAATCTCCCCAAAAATGAACAATCTTATACTAGCCAATGCACCGTGCGACTGCTGAGAACACCTGCATGTGAGAGCTCTATACTAGAAACTCAAAATGAGCCAGCATAAAGACATCAACCCAAAAAGAACAGAAATAGTGTCTTATATACCCCAAACCCATCTAATTACACCGGTCCAAAAAACATCTCTAATCCCTCAAAAAGAGCATGTTTGACCCTCTCAATTCTTGCAATATATTCACGCTCAATCCGCTCTCATACAGAGCGATGTGAGTTACTGGCAGTGAATATACAACAGTGGTGTAATACTAGATGATCTTCCCTTTGCCCTCATGCAATTTAGTTTAGGATTGACCGTTTTTCCAGTGATGTTCTTTAAGGCTGAATCATACATGACCGCAGGCAACATACCAAACTAGCAGAGCATCAACCCCTTACCTTATGACATAGTCAAAAGTCACAAAAGGGTACATATATGAAAGTCATATCAATAATGACACGTAAGACTCACACGGTGAGGAAACAGGGATCCATTCTCTCACCTCATTACTCGGTCGCCAAGCACATATAATATGAATACATGCTATGGTTGAGTA